AAGAGCCGGTCTACTTTAGGATATGTGTTTACATTGGCAGAAGCACCAGTATGTTGGAGATGTATACTTCAGTCTACAGTGGCTTTCTCTACTACAGAGGCGGAGTATATGGCAGTGACTGAAGCTGTGGAGGCTTTGTGTTTGCTTGGATTGTTGGAGGACTTGGGGATTACACAGGAGACTATTCGGGTATATTGTGATAGCATGTCAGCTATCTATTTGGTAAAGAACCAGGTTTATCACGCGCGCACGAAGCACATTGATGTCAGATTCTACTTTGTTCGTGATGTTTTGGATGACGGTGATGTCATATTCGAGAAGATCCACACAAAGGACAATCCTGTGGATATGTTGACCAAAGTCGTTTCAGGTGTTAAGTTTGGTCATTATTTGGAGCTTTTTAACATTCTTCGGCGTTGAGGCCTTTGGAGGCCATTTGGGTGAATTACGTAAGGTTTGATTCCTTAGGCAAGAGGATATGTAGGTAGTCTTTACGATACAGCCGGTTGGATCAGTTAATTTCGATAGGGGAGATTGTTTAAACTCTCGTTTGGGTTCCCGACTTGTTGTGGATTGAGTCTATTGCTATGGATTGATTTTACTTCGTACTGGACGTAACAAGTGGGACATTTGGATGCTTTGGTGTCGGCTCGGTTTTGGAAGAAACTTCACCGAGGTGGAGAATTGTGAGTGGGCGCGTGATTAACAGGCCGGCCCACCCGACCCTCACGCTATAAATAATAGCGTGAGGTCTGGTTTTGTAGAGGAGCACAGGGAGCAGAAGAGTGGCGGCTTGAGAAAATAGCTGCGGGAGCTGCGGGGGAAAAGTCGAAGAAAAAAAATATATAGAGAGGAGAGCCGCTGTTTGAAGAAGATTTTGAGCAGCCCTTTTAAGGGTTTGAGCATCCATTGAGGTAGAGAACTTGTGAGGGATCTAAGAGATTGTTTGAGGGTTTTATTTATGAGATCTTGTGTGATTGTAAACCCTATTTGTATTCTCTCTCTCTAATAGTAGATCTCCCCCCTCCTTGGAAAATAGCTGCGGGAGCTGCGGGGGAAAAGTCGAAGAAAAAAAATATATAGAGAGGAGAGCCGCTGTTTGAAGAAGATTTTGAGCAGCCCTTTTAAGGGTTTGAGCATCCATTGAGGTAGAGAACTTGTGAGGGATCTAAGAGATTGTTTGAGGGTTTTATTTATGAGATCTTGTGTGATTGTAAACCCTATTTGTATTCTCTCTCTCTAATAGTAGATCTCCCCCCTCCTTGCCCCGTGGACGTAGGCTATTTGCCGAACCACGTAAAATAGTTTGTCTTGCTGTGATTTGTAATAGCTTGTAGGTTCTCTCGACAAGTAAGTCCTAGAACTGATGAGAGGAAGAGCTGATATCTCACTTTGTTGAGATATTTTGCTTTCAGTTCATGTTTCCTTTGTGAAACAGGGATTTCGTTGTGATCTAATCTCTTGTTGTGCACCTTGCGCACCGGAGGTGTTGCCGAAATTTCCACTGCGCACAACAAAAACCACATATAGAGTCCTCTATTGAAAATCCTCTTCTCTGTTTAACATCACTAGAAATTTGACACCGATAGACAAACATGTTATTTTTATATTTTTTTATTAGATATGAAAACTTATTATATCTTGTTAATAATGAGAACGTGTATTAATAGTAGATATGGAAAGAGAAATGTTCACAAGTTTTTCTAAGAAAAAGTAACCTTTTTACCTTTATTATTTGAACTTGATGTCCTCATGTACTAATTTTCTTTACATCTTAATGCAAATAGTAGTATAGATATACGTAGAGGATCTTAATTAGCTTTTCTAATTTATATATAATTGATCTTTTAAAACATCATCACTTTCCTTTTGTATCTTCTATAAATTAATAAAATATAATGAATATAGAGGTTTCAATCTTATTTTCATCTCACTTAATAATCAAGAATGTTTTTTGAAGAATAAAGAGGAAATAAAAAGAAGAAAAAAGTGAAAAAGTATTGGTGTAAATTAGACGAACTAGAATTTTTATATCTTTATTAATGATCCGGAATGTTCTTGAAGAAGGGGAAAAAAGAAAAAAAGGTGAAAAATTATTCTTATACAGTAACAATTATACCCTTTAAGATACAATGGCAAAGAGAAAATGTCCTTCATCCGTCCACTTTTTGATTGCTCCTACTAAGTTTTTTTATATATTAGTATATATATCATAACAAAATAGTCCATTTAACAGGTAGAAAGAAACAGGGAAAAGAAAAATTATATAGGGAGTCATCCATATAAAAATCACACCGGAAGAAGCTGTGATGATTATATTGATTCATATACTATTTGCACTAATATAATATTTATTTTACATTGATATTTTTACTATTACATTAATATTATGTTGTTTTCTTATTTATTTTAAATTTATAGTAAACAAAGTGCCATATTCTCCATCTATATTTGAATTTCTCTTCACGATTTATTGCCCCCACAAAGTATTGAGTCGGTGCGGGTATCATTTTGGGTGACGTCAAAAGTAGTCCCTCTATATTTATTACCATATTTTCGTAAACCTGCGGTCCGCCGATTCAGTAGCAGAGAAGGAAAACGCCAAAACGGTGGTCGGTACTTTACAAGCCAACAATTTTCTATTTTCAGTTCTCAGAATTTATATTTCAATTTACTCGTTATTTGCACTTTATCTCCCGGTCCGCCACCCAATTTGCTTGCATATAAAGTTGACCTTGTAGCTAATTGGTAGGGGTGCAAAGGGATAACATAGGGATTAGATATATCCGCTTACTAATCACGGATATAGATACGCATGCTAATAGGTTTCAATGACGAGGAGAAAAATAGATATTCATATACACCAAAATCAACTACAGATACGAATCATCTAGAGTAGCTGTGTGAGAAATTGAAACCCAAACGTATAAGTTTTATACATGTTAGAAGAGTTGTCTAAATACATAAAAAACTTTCAAATCATAGTTCACTGGGAGAATTCAACACACCTACAAACTTAACGTTAGATCTTTGGATCATGAGAATTGATTTGAGATCCATTAATTTTAGGCTAAAACAATTTTAACTCTTAGTCAATACATGTATCTGAATATCATATTTGTCGGATCCAAACATTTATATATATATATATATATATAATATATATATATATATATATATATATATATATATATATATATATATATATTACATGTATCTGAATATCATATTTCGATCCAAACAATTTATATATATTATAATATATATATAATATATATATATATATATATATATATATAATATATATATAATATATATTACTATTGATAGGGTCGCATATGCAGTGGATAATTTACATTTTCTTTAATTTTTAGGCAATTTACTCGTAGGGTGAAAGTGCAAAAATGTTTTTTTCCTAAAGAAAGAGTACTCGCAAAGAATTATTAAGTGGAATTAAAGTAAAATTTCTAACCCCTAGTTTACGAAAAATGAATATTCTCCTCACTATTTTGTTTCTTCTAGATTTTTAAAAAAAAAAACACTGAAGTAACCTTCACGTTTCAATAAATTCCTCCTTTTTGTTTCTGGCCCTAATTTGGTGGCATTTCAACTCTCATGAGCCCACGGTAATCACAACTCATTTCTTTGGAATTAGGTTTTTCGTTGGGTGACTTCTATTTTACTTAAAGTTTTTCCTTTATCATGTGGTCGTTAAGCTCTTCATTGCATTTCAAGAAACTTGTACTTGCCTTTCAGTTTGAAAAATTAATGTTGGTGGACTTGCTTAGAAAATAGTGCACTTAAAATGTTTTCAACATGATTTATACCATGCATAGAATGTCCACAAATTAGTACTTTAGAATTTTCTTGCAATTTTTTTTGATAGTAACAGTTTTTTCTTGCAATTGGTTCTACTGTTTTGTCAATTTATATGCATGGTTAAATCATATCAAAATTATCTGATTTTTTTTTTGTGTGGTTTGTACAGAGTCCGTTTCAGTTGATTTCATCAGTTACCAGAATTTTAACTTAAAAGATAAATACCTAAAATGGATTGATATATTCTTAATGAAAAATATTCATGTGGAAGATTAGAAATAACGTTTAGATCACATTTTTATACCTTTTACTCTATACGTTCACATCATCTATGAGATTTCCTAACAGTTTAGAGAGATTTCTTGATTCTTACAAGGCTTACACATTAGAACATCCCTCTTATCTTTGGCTGAGATAACTCTCATGACTTTTAGAACAGAAAATCCCTCTTTAAGTTTATGGGTTATTAGAAAGCCTCTTTTATTAGAAACCTCTCCGAAGGGTGAATGGCAATTTTCACTAGAAATATATTCCCTTGCGTAATTTTAACTCGCAAATATAAAAGTTAAGCTGTCAGGGTAGTTCTCTACATAAAATTTTAAAATTAAAGGAGGGTTCTGTGATAACCTCTGAAGTTTTTCTTTTTGTTGTTGTAGGGGTAAGGGTTTTATAGGGGGCTATCTGATAACCCTCCGATAGTTTGTTTTTTTTTTTATTTTTATATTTATCTTTCCTATAACTCGCGAGAAAGTTCATAGAATCTTCACTCATTTATATTTTGGGTTAATTTCACAAAACCCCCTAAACTTTAGGGGTGATGCGTAGATGACACATGAACCTTTTTCTATCTGACATACCTCGAACTATCTGGTGCCTCACAATCCCCCTTTTCCCTCCGAACTTTAGCTTATCTCACTTAACCCCCTTACCTGTAATTTGCAAATAACTAAAATGTCTTTGCGTTGAATAATTCCTAAACTTTAATCACCTGTAATTTAAAGACAACATACTTGTTCCCCTAGAGTTTGAGTATTTTCTCTCAGAAAATTTTACATATTTGCAAATTACGTGCGGACGGGCTTAGGTGAGATAAGCGGGTTCAACCCCAAACCGGTGCGGAGTGGAGCCGGGCCAGAAAGGAGAGTCGGTTATCGGGGGGGGAGGATCGATCGCCAAACACGCATTGACCTTTCTTAGCGCATAGTAAATCGTCCGTGTGCTTGAAAGCGCGTGGGAAGGGGCACAGCTCACCTTCACCTTGATGCGTCTGACCGACCTCATTCATGGTTAGTTCGTGTAAAGCAGAAGGAGTTTCGGTTATTTAAACGCCCCCAGCCTCTCCCACATTTCTGTGTTCTTTTCCTCAGCAAATTTCACACAAGAGGTACTTAATTTCATGATCCCCTCAAGTCTCTCGTTTCACCCCCCCCCCCCCCCCCTCTTTACTACCACCTGGGTTTGTCTCTATTGTTGTTTTTTGATCTGAATCTTTTTGAGATGCGTTTTAGATCTGCTCGTTTAATTCTTTCGGATCTGTGTCTTTTGAAATCTGATGAATTTGTGCCCTAATTGATTGCGAAAATGAACCGTAGATCTGTAGAATTTGTGCCCCTTTTTTATTTTATTTTTATTTTTATTTTTTAATTTTTTGCTCTGATCTCCCAGTAAATCATCGAATTTGTTTTTTTTTTCCCCTCCTGATCCCCAGCAGCCAGCAGCAGCTAAAAGACGATGGTGAAGATCTGCTGCATTGGAGCCGGCTACGTCGGCGGCCCGACGATGGCGGTCATCGCGCTGAAATGCCCCGAGATCGAGGTCGTGGTGGTCGACATCTCCGTCGCCAGGATCACCGCCTGGAACAGCGAGACGCTCCCGATCTACGAGCCCGGCTCGACGACGTCGTCAAGCAGTGCCGGGGCGCCCAACCTGTTCTTCAGCACCGACGTCGAGAAGCACGTCGCCGAGGGCGACATCATCTTCGTCTCCGTCAACACCCTACCAAGACCGCGGCCTCGGCGCCGGAAAGGCCGCCGACCTCACCTACTGGGAGTCCGCTGCGAGGATGATCGCCGACGTGGCGAAATCCGACAAGATCGTCGTCGAGAAGTCCACCGTCCCCGTTAAGACGGCCGAAGCTATCGAGAAGATCCTGACGCACAACAGCAAGGGGATCAACTTCCAGATCCTGTCCAACCCCGAGTTCCTCGCGGAGGGAACGGCTTCGAGGGACCTCGCTTCAAGCCCGAACCGCTCTTGATCGGAGGCCGGGATGACGCCGGGGGGGCGCAAGGCCGTCCAGGCCCTGAAGGACGTGTACGCCAACTGGGTGCCCGAGGATCGCATCCTGACGACCAACCTGTGGTCGGCCGAGCTGTCGAAGCTCGCAGCCAACGCGTTCCTGGCCCAGAGGATCTCGTCGGTGAACGCCATTTCAGCGCTCTGCGAGGCCACCGGCGCGGACGTTGCTGAGGTGGCGTACTCCGTCGGGAAAGACAGCAGGATCGGACCCAAGTTCTTGAATGCCAGCGTGGGGTTCGGCGGCTCCTGCTTCCAGAAGGACATACTGAACCTGGTCTACATCTGCGAGTGCAATGGATTGCCAGAGGTGGCCAACTACTGGAAACAGGTTATCAAGATTAACGACTACCAGAAATCCCGGTTCGTGAACCGGGTTGTTTCCTCCATGTTCAACACCGTCTCCGGCAAGAAGATCGCGGTGCTAGGGTTCGCCTTCAAGAAGGACACGGGTGATACCCGTGAGACCCCTGCCATCGACGTGTGCAAGGGTTTGTTGGGAGACAAGGCAACGATCAGCATCTACGATCCTCAGGTGACCGAGGATCAGATCCAGAGGGATCTCGCGATGAACAAGTTCGACTGGGACCACCCGATTCACCTGCAGCCGATGAGCCCGACCGCGGTGAAGCAAGTGAGCGTGACCTGGGATGCTTACGAGGCTACAAAAGGAGCTCATGGGATCTGCATTCTCACCGAATGGGATGAGTTCAAGGGTTTGGACTACAAGAAGATTTATGAGAGCATGCAGAAACCCGCATTCATTTTTGATGGGCGCAACGTGGTTGATGTTGAGAAAATGAGGGAGATCGGGTTCATTGTTTACTCCATTGGAAAACCTCTTGATGCTTGGCTCAAGGATATGCCTGCTGTTGCTTGAGGAGGAAGAAGGTTCAGAGATTGATGAAGGAGATTCTTTACAAATTTGTTGTTTCTAATGGCTTATTTTTGCTTTTTTTTTTGTTGGGTTCATGGCTAAGTAGAGTTGGGTCCTCCGTTATGTTTTTTTTTCCCCTGTTGCATTTTAGTTACATACTTTATATCGGATGTTATCAGATATGTGTTATATTCCTTCTAATGTCGAGTTATTTTTGTTGTGTTCGTTACTGAGAGTTGTTTGTTTTTTTTTGTTCTTGGTTCTTCTCCGCGGTGGGTGGCTAGTGTCCTTTAAATATTGATGGTCAATAAAACAGTTTAATCATGCAACTTATATGATGGGATAAATAATTATAGGCTTTGAACTATGGCGTATTCTGATAGATCACTTGTACAGGAAATGATGATGATGATCTCCGGTAAAGGATGGACCGACCAGGGCGTATTCTGATAGATCACTTGTACAGGAAATGATGATGATGATCTCCGGTAAAGGATGGACCGACCAGTTCTCTTCACGATCATTAACAGTTACAGGAAATGATGATGATGATCTCCGGTAAAGGATGGACCGACCAGTTCTCTTCACGATCATTAACAGTTGAAAAAACAAGGAAGAAACAAGCGTGATATATTTTAAAAATTGATCTATTTGTTAAAAGTCCAATAAATAATTCAAATCGAAGCCATCTGATGCCTGACTTAGACCTATATGCCATAATAACTAACTAGTGGGATTGTGTTGCACAGGAGCAGACATTAAAAAGAAGACGATGTCCCACGAAAACTGTGCTTGACTAGCTGACCAAAACAAAATTAGAAAAACATCTTGAATAATAAATTGGCGGGTACAAGGGCATGAAGTTGCTTATGTCCACAAAACAAGGCTTTAGTACAAGCAAGAAATCTAGTTTAGAACAACAATAATCTTCCATCACGCTGAATGTAGTAATGCCCAGACATTGAATACATCCTCTTGAAGATTCATAACCTATGAGCCAATGACAATCAGGTAAAGATTGCAAATCCAGAAATCTCGCGGATAAGATGTAACTTGAGCTGAGCACCGTGAGCGACCCAGATGATTAGATTGAAACTAACCCAGATAAATAGGCGGTTCCAAGATAGCTCCCACGATTTTGGGTTCAATCCCCAGTGACTTCATTATTAAAAAAAATGTAACTTAAACTAAAACACAGTAAACGCCTTATACAGTCGAAACATCTCCTGTTACAAAAGCATCTTCAGTAGCTTCACACCTTCAACAACAACAAAAAATATGGACTCCGAATGAAGTGCAAAACAATGAGAAATATGAATTTCCAACTGGCCTTTGATGCATATCATAAGACATTCAAAATTTATTTCATATTCATCAATCAAAGAATTGGGCCTCACATTCCAACTGCTTGCCCAAGCTAACGTAGCTTACAACTCAACATTTACGTTCTTTTACAACAAAATTTACATGAGTCGATAAAACCAGGCAAGGAAAAGAAACGAAAACTCCTTTCCTTCTCTATCAATTTACATAATAGTATACAATTTTGTTTTTCCCTTGCAGTCATATGCCTTGTTGGAATGTTTCTGTCGAATGGGTATGGTATGGATGTCTGCACTCAGCCAGGATGCCATCAAATTAGAGTGGTCAGTTCTATCATTTGCATAAAGGCTCTCAAAGTAATCGACGAAACTCTGAAAATTCCAACTAATCAAAATCGGTGATTCCCAAAATCTGCTAGCTTACTGCACTTCTACCTTCACCTCGAGGCATCTTCTTTGCTCCGGCTGTTTACAATGAAACAAGTTAGCTACTTCAATATAAAAATTATGTTTTGTATACAGCTACCATGAGAAATATGCATATTATTACATTCTTCAACATCCTTCAATTGGTAGTAGTGTGGTGCAATCTCAACTAGCCACTCGGGTTTCAATTCTATAACCTGCAATATGTAAAATTTATGAATTGATTGATCAAATGGTCATGGAAAAACTATAACAATAGGAATTTTTCAAGAATATACATTACCTGTCGCATGTACTCTTTGGTAGTAAGGACAAGTTCATGATAGATAACCCACCTGGGAAGCACCTAGGGGAGTCGCAAAGAGGTATTGAATATAGTTAGCTTGGTATCATAACTTACATGGTCAAGAGGAAACAGAAACATTATATTACCACAAGGTAATACTGGTTCACTTATAAGACAAACCAGTTAGCAGATAAATCACATACTGCGACATCTAAATGCCACCAAAACTTTACTGGTCAAGGAAAAAATGACAAGATAGGCACCAGATACAGTTAAACCAGATTAATGAGACAATTGGGATAACACAATGTGAATTTCTTTTAAACTCCAGGGAACCTTCTAAACATCCATGAACTCCTTTTAGTTATTAAAGATTTTTATGGTTAGCAATACACATTATCCTAAACTCTCATTATAATATGCAATATGGTATTTACCTGTGCTAGACCAGAACTGGGATGTATGTATACTGTTTGAGGATTTTTAACAGTTCGGTATGCACCAGTCTTCTGCAACCTTGCTGAATGATGGAAAAACCCTGGAATATTCTCAATATCAGGTGTGAGCACTTGAAGCAATCTCCGTTGATCTTCATGATAAGCAAAGAATGAGCCATACCTGATGTGATGGCCTTTTTAATAGCATCCAAATCACCAGGGTTTGAGGTAAGCTCAATTTCAACTCTTTCCAAAAGCCCTTCTAACTGATCTCTAATATCTCTTGCTCGTTTCATACTCCGCACCTGGTAAGATAAGATGCATATATCAATGCCCATATATATATATATGTGTGTGTGTGTGTGTGTGTGTGTGTGTGTGTGTGTGTGATAAGATTTTTTGTTAATGCTAGGATTTTTTTGTTTATGTTTGTCATTTCTTTATTCAAGAAACGGGATGCCGCCCTAGGGAGAACACCATTCCAAGATTTATATCTTGAAGCACGTATTACTGTATCAAGCTCCTTCTGTTGGAGCTAAACAGAAAATTTATTGTGCCATAAGATTGCTCTGGCATCTAGGTTTGATACGTGACATAAGCATACCATCAACCAAATAATAATAATAATAATAAGGAACAAAAAAATGTTGAATTATCACGATATGAAAGTGTTCTCATATATTAGTGGTAAGGTTTTATTTTTCAAACACTAACAAAAATTGAAAACACCAAGAACCACCTTATTACCTCAAGTTATTATAATAAGATGGCTACACAAACACTAATAATCTTAATTCATGTATAAGAGAAATCTTCCTTGATCTCAGTTTCTCAATGTGCATTCAATCATATATAAAATTTAATGTTAATCGTGAAATGCCTCATCTCTGAGTTATGCTTACACATAAGCATCCAACGATGGGATGCACACACGAATTCCTGGATTGCACTCTAAACAGGTCAATTAAAATTAGAAGCCTATATTATTGTAAGAGATGACGACAGGAAAGCTATGACACGCCACCTTAATCATAATTGACACCAACCACCCGCATGAGTAGAATTAAATACCCCCCCCACCCCCCCCCAAAAAAAAAAAAAACCAAAAATAAAAAAAAAAACTCAAAAGAACTGTCTGGAGTTACCCTGAGTCCAAATCTTTGGTCAGAGAAATAGCTTCTGACTATTAAACAGGTCAGTGCATGAATAATTATGCATGTATGAATGTAAAATTTTGTCACTGATAAGTTATGATTTGAGATTAATTGTAGAGGAGTATCAGTGCTCCTGCATGCAAAATATATATACAACCCGATCGAGTCTAGGTGGTAGGGAAAATGAACCCTGGCTATAGAAAACCCATCTCAAAAGACTTCTTTACATTGTTCATCAGAGGTACCAATATAATCTTTCATATCATAAATATTTAATAACTTTAACAGACTTTAAGCTGATCCATAATGTCGTTTTTACCGCATTATTCTGAAGGGAAAGAAAAGCATGGATTATCTATTTAATATATATAGCAGGAGCCAACATCAACCGCATCTGGGAGGTGGAAACATTTAAAAAAAGAAAGAAAGATGCAAAACAAGAACTAGAGTAGCAAGTGTAATTATTTTCTGCTTCTTGATCATACCTGGATATAGTTTTCATAGCACCATTGAGTCGAGAAGTTGGTTTCCTTCCAGGAATTGTAAACCTGAACTAACAAAAACAAATATAAGGCCATAGAATAATTAATTAACTACCGCGTACCAAAAATTACACTGTAGTTTGGCTTCAGAGACAACAGAAATAAGTGCCGGAATTACATTGAGAAGAGCAATATGATCTCCAACATTGCCAGTGTGGAAGTTGAGTCTAGCATTGTCTGCATGTACTTGTTTATCCTTTGGACGGTAAAAGATTGAATTTCCAACAGAGAGCATGGAAGCAATTGATATGATCTCATCTGAACACTTGTATTTGTCTGAAGCAACTATCATCTTGGAGAGCATTGGATCAAGTGGAAATTCTGCCATTCGTCTTCCAACTTTAGTTAACTCTCCCCTGCTATTTAGTGCACTAAGAGCAAAAAGTTGCTCAAGGGCCTTAAGCAATGCTTCTGATGGTGGTGGGTCCATAAAATCAAAATTCACTAAATCATGGATGCCCAAGCTCTTAAGAGTAAGCACAACATTAGCTAGATTCGTCCGCTGGATCTCAGGCACAGTATTCTCTTCCAAATCATGATGATAATTATATGCAGTATACAACCGAAAGCATTTTCCAGGTCCAGTGCGTCCTGATCTTCCAGCCCTTTGCATTGCAGAAGCTCTTGAAATCGGATTAATTAACAAAGATTCCATACCTGTCCGTGGATTATATGATTTTATCTTACAGAAACCAGGATCAACAACATATTTTATCCCATCTATAGTCAATGATGTTTCTGCTATGTTTGTAGCCAAGACAACCTTCCGAGCCCCCTCTGGAGTAGGTTCGAAAATCTTAGCCTGAAGCTCTGTAGGAAGATTAGCATAAATAGGGCATATTATAAGTTCTGCTATTTTGGTTCCTAAACCCCTTGTTCTGTGCTTCAATATTTCATCCACGGTCTCAATTTCCTCCTGACCTGTGAGGAACACAAGAATATCACCAGGAGATTGGGTTATATGTATTTGAAGAACGGTGACAATAGCAGCATCGATGTAATCTGCTTCTGGAGCTGTAGTAAAATTTATCTCGACAGGATATCGCCTCCCCGGTATCTTAAAAATGGGTGCAGAGTCGAAGTAATCGCTAAACTTCTCAGCATCAAGTGTCGCACTTGAAATAAGAAGCTTAAGATCTTTCCGGAAGCGAGAAATATCCTGCCATTTTTCTCAAAGGTAAACAAACCTTATAATAAAAAACATGTTGAACAAATTTCACTAGGCAATTAACTAAAGCAGACTCAAATAGAACTACTTAACGAGTACACCTACTGATATACGTAACAGGACAAATACAATTCCGGACTGTCATTCATCTCACCTTAACCAAACCAAACAAAATATCTGTTGAAAGTGTTCTCTCATGTGCCTCATCCACCATGATGACGCTGACATGTGAGACAGAGGAAAAAGATCAATAAAAACAAAAAGTTGGTAATAAAAAGACAAAGACGGCTGTTTGATTGGTTGTCCACCTGTAGCTTGCTAAATCAGGTTCACCGAGGAATTCCCTCAGCAGCATCCCATCCGTCATATACTTCAGAACTGTTTTTTCAGAAGTGCAGTCTTCAAACCTAATTGAATAACCCACCTGTCATAAAGATTATATAGCCACCACATTAGCTTACATACCAAAAGAAAAAGAAAAAATATTCGTCCGCTAGATCCTAGCACACTGTAGTTTAGCAAAAACACAAGGACAGTGACCGAACCTCATGACCAAGTTTAACACCCATCTCCTGCGAAACACGAGCAGCAACACTCATTGCAGCAACTCGACGCGGTTGTGTACATCCAACCTAGAAAATCCAAAAAGTCATCAGCTAAGAAGCCGCTAGACATGTACCTTGTTGAGCTCAGTACATAAGAACATTTCACTGCACCTTTGAATTAAAGAACAAAATGCTGCCAAAGAAAAAGTTGCTCAATACCATAACAATATCTCAACATTAGCTATAAGTCTGTGTAATAGAAACATTAGTACAGACTGCTTGCAATGTCTTGTAAAGTAAGGAAAACTAGGGTGGCAGCTCTGTGGTTGAGCCACTAAACTAAGATATAGGTGTCATGGTTGGTGTAAGTGGAACTTTGTATCTCTGAGACAAATTACCAAATAACCTGCTTTGATGTTATTATGGATCACATGCTATAGAGACTGAGATCCACTGATTTCACCATTTCAACAAGAGACTACAGAAGAACACAAGTATCATGTGCAAAGGACACCTCCCTCTCTCTCTCTCTCTCTGTGTGTGTGTATATATATATATATATATATATGAGATTAATGGGTATCCTTGTCATAGGAGGGGATTTCCTCCTATAACGCCTCTAAAATCACATTAATCTCTCTCTCTCTCTCTCTCTCTCTCTATATATATATATATATATGAGAAATATGGAGAACCTTGATACCAAGTTCTTTCATTGAACTTGGTAGTAATGTGGAGAAATCTGGCCCCTACATCACTCCTCGAAAATAGAACCTCTATATATATATATATGAGATTAATGAGTATTCTTGTCATAGGAGGGGATTTCCTTCTTGACGCCTATGTGGCGAAATCCTCACCATCCTCATAAAGTAGGAGAGAATGTGAGTTGGTGCCTTGGTGGGGATTTATGCCTACTTTATGAGGATGGTGGGGATTGTGCCACATAGGCGACAATGAGTGAAATCTCTCTCTTATGACAAGGATACTCATTAATCTCTCTCTCTCTATATATATATATATAGAGAGAGAGAGAGATATTAATGGGTATCCTTGTCATAGGAGGGGATTTCCTCCTTGACGCCTCTAAAATCACATGATTGAGCGACATTGTGGATGATCCGCTCCGTTGAACTTGATCTACATATTCTAAAACCTCAACATACCAAGTTTGGGGTGAATCCGTCGTCGTTTGACCCTCCATTGAGCCATGTGAAAAGTTCTATTCATTCAAAACCGTTAAAATTGATACGAGTGGATGGAGGGTCAAACGACGACGGATTCACCCCAAACTTGGTGTGTTGGGGTTTTAGAATATGTAGATCAAGTTCAACGGAGCGGATCATCCACAATGTCGCTCAATCATGTAATTTTAGAGGCGTCAAGGAGGAAATCCCCTCCTATGACAAGGATACCCATTAATCTATATATATATATATATATAGAGAGAGAGAGAGAGAGAGAGAAATTCTTGTGTCAACTTAAGTGGATAGCAAAAAACTATCCAGCAAACTTTTTAGCCACTAATATTACGTAGGGATCCTTGCATGATATGGAAAGGTTTTTTATATTAATAAATGAGTGGCTAGGAAGTTTGGTAGACATCAACTTAAGTTGATAGGAGTCTTACCAGAATATTCTTTTTTACTTTGGCAAAGGTTCACTAGCGACACTTTTCCCGCTATCCATCTATGGAGGGAGTGTGTGTGTGTGTGTGTGTGTGTGTGTGTGTGTGTGTGTGTGTGTCAGACATTTGTTTACCACAGAATATTCTTTTTTACTTTGGCAAAGGTTCACTAGCGACACTTTTCCCGCTATCCATCTATGGAGGGACAAGGTGTCAAAGCATGCATGTTAAAGATCCCAAAAGTTGCATGGCACTCCATATGTTTTACTACAGTTATGACAGACAACAGAAATTATAAGAAAGCAATACTAGTGTAGTTAGGTTGAAATACCAAACCAAAAAATGCCAGCATCAGTAAAAGGATGAGAAAACTGCCAATGGCACTTGAAAATGCAAAAGGTGCATGAAGCCAGTGCATGGAGTGACATCTGAAGCATAACAAAAGCTGTGCAGTTCTCTAAAAGAAAATCACACTACTGTATGAAATGCCGGTTTTGATTGTCCCAGTAGTCACAAAGACTTGTAACCCATCCCACAAGTATCTTCATACAGACCTTTTAGTAATTTGGTTTAACATCTACTTTGATCCATAAGCTCAAATTCGGTGACCAATAAGAGCAGCTCCTATGAGCTGTGACTCTCGGCAATCCAATTGTATGGCTGGAGTTTCTTCGACGGGACTCAGTTCTAGGACTTTATAACAAGGTGATAGCTGACTAAAAGAAGACTGTCCATAACTCAGTCTTCTCGACTTAGGTTTATGTTGAATGGGAATAATGCTTCATTATGACCATCCATTACTGTACAACATGACTATGGTCTAACAAGAAAGCTCAACCTCATCCAATCCAATGTTCGAACAAACCATTGACTTGAAGCAACCTTACTGCTGATCAAATAATAGTCTGTGAAACCATATTATTATATACTTTTATTAGAAGAAAATCTGGATATTTCGATGCAAGGTGGGTAGATGCAGCAGGAGGGAGAAGGCCTTTTTCTTTGAAAAACTTACTATTAGACAAAGAAAAGCTATATGCTCCAAAACAACCTGGTTCAACCATTCAGTTCCTATATCTACTATGTACATTAGAGGATTGATTTATGATTATGGTAAATTGCAAATCACTACAGATATTAGAAATGGGCTGAACAAAACTTACGAGTAGCTAATTTCTTCATCATCCATCATAGCCAAACATCAATAAAGCACTCAAGTGCCCCTAATCCTTGTCATGAAAACTCTCACCGCCATCAGTTGAAAGTTTACCAACTTGCCATGATGATTTCTACTCACTGAAAACTAAGAATAGCTAATTTCTTGGTCATCCATTTTCAGATAGTCAAACATCAATAAAGCACTTGAGTGCCCCTAATTCTTGTCATAAAAACTGCCACCGCCACCAGTTGTAAGTTTACCAACTTGCTCTGATTCTTTCAATGATACCGCTAGAATGAGTTAAATAATTTTTTTTTGCTAACTCTTCTTCTATCAAATATTGCAATGTGATGGTATTAGCTTTTTATCTTACGTTGTGCGTCAGAGATGAATGTTGTTTCACCTAGTAAATTGCATACCAAGGACTCTATGGATGCATGAGCTTAATCTGCATCACAAGGAGAGGCCAGTAAACCTTCCACCAACTAGCCACCAACAACTGATAGCACTTTGAACATTTTAAAGGATATTAAGCTGTTACTCACAACCCTACATCTCTCATATACAGCTATAACTATAAATTGATTACACACAACCATATATCTCTCATATACAGCAATGACTATATTTTGATTATGCACAACCCTATATCTCTCATACACAGCTACAACTATAATTTAGCTACACACAATATGCTACTTAATAGAAAAGTTTCCATTTTTGCTTCCCATCACCCCCATCACCCATACACTGCAGAATTTATCCCCTTCAACCCTCTTTTCGTTGCCACTGATCTACCCAACTTTACTCTTTAGCACAACATATCATGAGTAGAATGCAGCTCAATTCCATATATGAAAATAAATAAATATTCAGCAAAACAATATTCAGCAGACAAATGCACTCTAAAAAACTAAATAAGCAGACTGCATTATCATTACAACCTCATTCCTCAGTCTTCTCCAATTTTCAATCAAGACAGTAAAAAGGAAGCACGATCACAACCTACACTTCATAAACCTAATCACATCTTATCTCCATATAAAGTTGCATCAACTTAGGTTTTTCAATGTAAAGATACATAATCAGGGTTAGATCACAACAATGTTTGAAAAAACTTTCTTGAAACTTGCTTCGAAACTCTCTTGAAGCTTTTTGGAGGATAAATGCTTCAAAACTTAAGAGTGAAGCTATTTATTCTATAAAGCTTACGCCTCATCGCTTACCGCAAAACTGAAGTGTGCACTTCGTGCTTCATAAAGTGCTTCTCTTTTGAAGCGCCGCTTGGACAAGATAGGAGGACATAAAAGGATGATTTTTGACTGACATTAAAGTGCATCTATGCATCTTCAATATGACCATGCGAGTATAAATAAGATATATATGTTATGTATGTAGCTTAGTTTATTGTGATTTGCATCTATCCTTCACATATTTAATTCTTATTTATTAATAAGGACATAAAAGTATCTATTTGTAAATTACTATACTGTTATGTATTGCATGTTCATGATTTTAACAGATTTTAGAATTAAAATGCTTTAACTCACAAGCCTTATGCATCGCGCTTTGAAGCTTATGTCTCGTTTCATTAAAGGGTCTAATGATTCGCCTTGTTCATCCTCTTTTTAAACACTGGATCGTACCATCAACAAGCACCAGGTGGCAGCAAAAAGAACACTCATATATTGTCTTTAAATCATATTTTCAATTCGAGTTCTAAGCATTAAATAAAAAGAATATGATCAGATGAAGCAACTCATCCAACAAGGAAAACTAACCAACCCAAAGAGAGCTAAACATACTTCCCATAGACATCGGAAAGCAAAAGAAATGACTCAACAAGCACAAGTTCCAATGCACTCTTAAATTACACAGTTCTTCAACTATGAAAACACCTACGTATGTGCTCATGTGGCAGAATAAGAACAAAACAACAGCGAAAAGAAATATTCTTCCCATTTAATCTGGAGGATAGAATTCACTTAACAAATGAAAGAGAACATTGCACTTGAGATATTAGTGTACCTTTCCGTGTTTTGTATATCCAGCTTCAATAAGATACTGGGGTATCTGTGTAGTCTTACCAGAACCGGTCTCTCCAACAATAACAAGAACCTGTTAAATTTGAAAAATTACAATTAACTCCTCGTACTTAGGATACCACCTTGGCTAAAATGGCAAGCAGGAAATAAAAAAACAGAGACACATCTTTATTAACTTATTAGGCTCTTATCCTTTCACCATTAGAACAGGGAATAAAGCTCATACATCAAGAAGTTCAAGGAAACTAAATTTAACGGGAAAAAAAACTAATGACAATAGTAATGACATGATGGGCTTATAACTCTTAGATATCCTCAGAAAACTAAAATCAAAAGAGGGGTTAGAATTAGAATAATAACTTCATATTTAGTTCTTTTTGTAAGCAAGAATCACAGCAAACAAAGCAAAAAAAAAAAAAAGACAAGGAAAGCTAAGGGCTCGGATGAATAGAATGTTCTGAGTATCATAAATTGCAATATAGTATGTATGTATGTGTGTGTGTGTGTGTGTGTGTGTATTGTTACCCTGTTACTTAGAAGTACAGAGCCTTTTCACTAAGGACAATTTGATTCAATATTCCCAAGAACAATAAATTTGACACATTCCTATAGCAAATACTACTTATGGATGACAGATACCAAATTTGGAACTTATGTCTAGTTCTTGAAGACTTCATTAAAGTAGGAATACTCTTTCATATCCTCCTCAATGTAACTTCTGAAAGCCTCAAAGGTTCCACTTCTCCAAATTAAGTATTGCACTAGTTAGTGCACAAAGACTTGCACAATTCCAAAAATACAGGTATAGCAACCACCACCATGGGTAGTGCATAAAAACCCGAAGCAAAACCACATGTGCAATAACTCCCTCCTGCTTGAGAAGCTTTAGGCCTAACACTGGGTCATTAAAAGAATCTATTTTCAAGAGTCATCATGATAAGGTAATTATCCCCGCTCATCAGGAATTCTATTAAAAATACATATAAAAACTCATCTAGATGGCAGCTTCAGATCTACAAACCTGATGATCATTGACAGCTTGAAGTAACTCCTCGCGGTAGGGATAGATGGGAAGAGTTTTTCTGTCATCCTGAAGAAAATACAAGGGAAATCAACAGATTTAATAAATCTAGTATTGCAGATAATGAAAGAGGTTTTGCAATCGTTAAACTTAATTTCAACACCAGTTTCAGCTGCCAAGATAATATTTAACAAATACTTAGTGAAGGTGAGACAGGCCCATTGTATCAAAAACTTGGAGACAATGGAATAATGAAAATGGAACAGAATCCAGAAGCATTTAGCAGAAAGAGTAAAGGATATCCTACCTGAAGTTTTTGTAACTCAGATTTTGCTCTGGACGTGTCAGGGCTTTCAGCTCGCAACTCGTCTTCATACTGCTCAAAAATACAAAGTATATAAAAGGTCAGAACTCCATTTCCAAGGTGGTACAAGAAGCAAATTATAAAAGAAATGAATCTGAACATGGTTTTTTCTCAACATGCCTGGACACCATCCATTACAGATGCCTTGATGAAATCAATTCCATCTTCAAAAACATACCTAGTAGAAGAGTAACAATAACAGGGTTAAGATATACTTAAATTTAAAGCGCATAAAAACATGTAGCTGTGATAAAATAATTACTTTTAAGTAGTATATGATATCACAGACAAAGAAGACAAGATGAAGTGCTAGAACTTTGTACACAAGATTTGCAATAAAAAGAAACACGCATAATCACATAGGGGAAAACATTAAGTACTTACTGATAATCATCATTTGCTTGTTTCTTATTTTTTGAGCCAAACTTTAAGGTTGCCTTTCCTGCAACAGGAACACATTTAAAGTTCAGAGACTGTCACAAAATCCATAACCATATTCGAAATGTTCTGCCACTGTGGTTAGGGAAAAATTAAAAAAAAACAAAAATGGTAAGGATAAGTATCATATTTACCAATTTGATGCTCTTCCCAGGCTTCCTGTTCAGCAAATGGATTCATCTTATCTTCAGCACCAGGGTCTCTGCATAGATGAAGAACTTCAGACCAGAAATAACAGGTAGCAAAAGAAAAAACTACTATTTTTCCATCCATTGAGCAAGTGGTCGCTATTAGCATCCTAATACAGCAAATTTGTTGCTTTTGCTAATTACAAGAAACCATTACAGCCAAGAAATTAACTATGAACCAACCTGTACCGCTGCATAGCTGCAGCAAATCTTTTCTCTTGATTTACAACTCCATCTTGATCATATGCCTCAGGCATCTTATACTGTTCCAAACAAATTTCTGATTGTTACTGGAAGAGATTGAAAAAATAAAAACAGTTTATTATAATACCCTCATCTATAAATTTCATGTTTGTACACACAAACACTAGAAAACAAAGCAAATCAAGTAGTATGAACCTCCCATTATACCCTAGCCAGGATGATACATAAACCATACAAGTTTTAAATAAATAACAAATACTATCTCCAAGAGCTGAAATCACATACAACAGAAACTCTCAATAGAATGAGGTATACAATTATTGTTAACATGGTGCGCCAGATAATTGACGGTACACAAAATTCACAATATAGATGCCCAAGTTGGCCCATAACCTAGGTCACTATAATACTTTAAGGCTCAAAGGAGAAGCAATAACTTGAATGCATGCTCACATACAAGAATCTCAATTGCCTTACTTCAGAGTGGACATGTTATGCAAGCAACAATATAAGCCCAATAAAATGCTCATAGCTGCTAACAAATCATATGATCTCTACAGCATAATGTAAACAAGTAACACAGCAAAGGCTTTACTCGAAATTGTTTGGTTGGCTATATTGAATCCTTTTTCTCTGTTACTTGATTTAGAATGACGGACAGACTCATAAAAAGCACCAGTTAGATGCAAAATAAGTGTCTTGGTATATGGTGTCAGTTTTATCTATTATAGTGCATTGAATGAATTCCTTGCTTAACTTGATATACCTCTCAAGGTAGTGCAGAAGAAAGCAAATACGAACATAAGCAAAGCCAGAAAACAGTAATAAAATAGTTTGGAATGAGATTTGCATTAATGATTCATGGCAGTATGGAAAAAATAGGCGCACCTCAGTGTCGTCTACATCCTCCAGGTGCTCCTTTGCAAGCTCATAAATCTTCTTCTTGTACCTGTAAAGGAAATCCATGAGAACCCTATCGAAAAGCAAGTACAGGAAAATAGGTGCACCGTCAGTGAGGTTCCACTTGCAAAACTAAATTGATGTAACATATTATCCATTGCAGTTTGTGTCTAAATAAATTCAACATCGATCCTCACATTACTTCTAACACGGACAAATATCGTGTTGCATGTATGTCTATTACAATCTCAACAATGAGCTCCTTTGATTTCCTTCTGGTAAGTCATAGTAGATGTAAGCCTAAATTAGGACTTAGGAACTATCGTTGTTTCAGATAATTGAACTACAGATAATGTTCAACCTTATTACTGAGGATATTTTTCGATGTCTTCTTTCTCTTCTTCTTATGGTGGATGGGGGATGGTGGGAGGAAAAAAAAAACAAAGCATAAAGCATACCTATAGAACTTGGACTGGGTTCATCTTATATGAAAACTTAGACAAATCTTGTACATGCACTTAAGACAAATCTTGTACATGCAGCTTATGGCTAGATTTATATTTCAGTGATCAGAATCACTTCGCCAGCTGCATAAAACCACAGGTCTGGAAGCTGAGATTACAATTTCCTCTTTTTTCCCTCTTTTTTTTAAGGGTGTTAAATGACACCAAGCAGAACAATCATCTTTCAATATATAGATGAACAACCAGACAGGGATCAATAAATATACATAAATCATGCAGATTTCTGTCTAAATACAAACCACAAATCTTAATATTCCTAAATTCACAAATAAGACTGGAACAGTATGAACCATGACGTAAAACAAATGGAAACATAAAGCACAGAAGAAAACTTGAAATTTGAAAATAATGAAATGCAAGTTCAATCAATGTGACGTGCTACCTTAGTTCTCTTTCTTCTGCATCTGTCAGCTTAACACCTTCAAAGATGTACTCATGATCAATTATATCATCCCTGCATAGGAATATAACAAAGGTTTAGCATTAGCGAAGCAGATGCCATACTGTTGACAGAAGACATGACTAAAAATAAAACAGACACTATATAATAGAGAATATCAAATTGCATAATACAATTCTCTGACATACCTAATCTCCAAAAGCTTCTGGTCCCTCCTTTTCTTAAGGTATACTTCTCTTGAAACTTTTCTGACAAAAGAGATACAAAAAATAAACATTCTATCTAAAGGATCTGCCAGGAAAGTAATTGAAAGTGCAGATGTAGCAAAATTCCAACAAGGCAAAGACAAGGTTATAAACATCATGGTAAAGCTCTGTCCAAATGCACAAGCAAACTCAAACTAACACTTCAAATGATAATCTTTTCTACTTCTAGATCTGTGTGCTGAAAATTTTCAAGCTTCAATTTTCCTCCTGTTCAGCTTGCTGCTCATTTTCATAGAACTACAAGGTGCAATTTACAGCTGTATAGAGTATAGACGTCTCTGCATGTAACAGTGTATCAATGTCGTACTCCATTCATTCCAAAAGTGTTATCATCTAATTCAAAGGCCAAAAGGATCCTTCTGTTTTTCTTTTCTTTTTCTTTTTATTCACAGCATCTGATCTTACAATGGCCATTTGAAGTCCTTCCCAAAAAAGAAATTAAAAAAAAATCAATGACTGTACAGTGGTTGCAAACTGAACTCAATAACTCTCTACAACAAATTCACTTGTTTGCATAGAATCCATCAAAATGTTAGTTATCCTTATTAACATATAGCAGTTCATAAACATGAACACATCAGTAAATCCACAGAGAACTAGGGAGTAATATCTATGTCAACACAGGGAAGGCCATGTATCAATATCATAGCCCAAGCCTGGCTCTTGATTGATATAAAGAACCATGACTATAAAGAATGAGGTGTGGCACAAGCCAGACCATTTCAAAATTTGATCCTGCAATAACCATTGAAGAGAACTCTTAAAGCTCAATATACCTTATCAATTAGCAACATGATGATTTGAGGATGCACTTTATATTGGAGAAAATAGTGCAAAAATCATTTCTAAAGCTAATGAAAATTTATTAATCATTGCTAAATAGCACTATTAGTTTAATTAATCTTTGCTAAACACAGTGAATAAAATATTGAAAACACCTGCATGCAAGAATATTGGGCAAAAACAAAAAATCCTTTTTAAAGCTAATGAAAACAAATCACACTTTGTTAAATAGAAATATGAGTTTTGAATAAAATAATGAAAATACATGTGTACATGATGCATGCAGTATCCAATCAGCTCATGGGCCAAATGAAAGTTGGTTAAACCCGGCCTGCTCACTAAATGTGCTTTCTTTTTAGACTATGCCCAGCCCAAGATGGATTGAACCCGGTTCTCCGGCAAGATAACCCAAACCTTTTGACAACCTTAGAGATTAATGCACACCAAAATAAAATTAAATAAATACCACAAAGATGATTGAGGATATGAACCTTAGATCAACAGTACTATTTTCCTCAAAAGCTTTTGATCTCCGAAGTATCTCCTCTGAAAAAAAAAATTGAAAAAAAAATTAGATAAGCAAGAAAAATATCCATCTAGAAGACCAAAAAGAGTAATCAGTATAACTGCACAAACTATACCTTCCTCCTTTTTTGATAACTTTGGCTCCATCAACTGCAAATAGGAGGGAAGAAAGCGATTAATGACAACAAGAACATAGCTTTTTAAAATAAAATTAAAAAAAAAGTAGTAGCATTTATCCGTGATCTATGAGCAGCTACAAGAACCATTTCTTCGTAGCTTAGCTCCCTTGAGGGTCATCTCCTTTCTTTTGTCACAAGTACTTACATTAGTTTATTTTTAATGCCATAATCCCAGTTTGATTAAATCCGCTGTTAGTCTTTACAGTTCCATTGGCTACAAAGACTAGATCCTTGCTCATCCCAGAAAGTATAAATATACATTGTTGATTTCCTTTTGCTTACAGATAGATCTTCCTAATTATGAGTCTATGACTTATCCAAAGCAACTTGATTATCACTACAAACCTGTCGTGTCTTTGCAGCATCTCTTTCTTTCATGTTTCTCTCTAGTTGTGCTCTTTCCTCTTGATCACGTAGTATAGCCTCCTCAGACTACAAGCAAATAAAGAGGCAAATTCATCGGATACATAAGAAGTTGAGAAACAATTTTTTGATATTTGAAAACATAATGGAATGATGTCGCCAAATTTCTAACATTTATAACTATTGATCATAGTGATAATCCCTTAAGTTAAAAAAATCATAAGGGAGGGGGGGAAATCAAAGATTCATAGAAATATAGAATAATACTTGGATGCACTAATTTAGTTAAATGGTGTTGAACAAACTAGTCTTTTCTTCATGTCCACATACAGGTTATTACAAAGTGTTTTTAAAGTTTTGCTTGACAACTGAGACATGTGCATACTCTTCTGTATTTGGTCAATGCTAAAAGCTTTTGCAAAGAAACACTAATACCTCAATATCATCTTCACTTTCATCCACCTTTGAAGTCCGCTTCCGAACATTCCTTTCACTGCCTTTAACTACAGTCGGCTGCAATACAAAATTTAATCAAAATAATCATAAGGAATCATTACAATAAGCCTTTACCATAGCATCTCATCACAAAAAAAAGTAAGAAGAAGTCCAATAATATGCCTCATCATCATCCTCACTCTCGTTGGCTTCGCCCTTCTTCCGAAATCTCTTCTTAGCACTGCCTCTCTCCTGCTGCGTACTCACTGTCAGGTTATTATCCACATCATCTTCATCATCAGCATCCAGAAGCTTGTAGCTACTCTGTTTCTTTGCAAACTGCGCTGCTTCTCTCTCTTGCTTCTGATAACTCTGGAGAAAATGGGCAACAAACAAACATAAACCATGAAAATTCTTAACCCAACTTATTTAACTAAATTTTTTAAGAGAAAGACGAGATGTTACACTTGGGGCAGATTGTCTATGAGGAACTTTAGCGAATATTTCGTGCGCAAACGACCGAGTGTCCGCTGACGACGAGAATCCATAGTCGACGAGCTTGGCCACGAGATCAGAAGGCGAAGATGCTTCTTTTGCTGCATAAAATGCATCAAGCTGTAATATCTAAACTAAAAAACATAGCACAGATGGAAATCTAATTATAAAACAAATCAATAAGTAAGGAAACTTACACAAACGAATCACATACTGAACAACTACACTCTGAGAATAGCCCATGAGTGACATGAGCTTATCCGAGACCCAAGTCTTTAAGTACCTCTCATCCGCCATTGTTTTTAAATTATTTGAAATTTTATGCTAAAATAATTGGATCGTGGAGCTAGGGTTTCGAATTGCGACTGAGGTGCTTGAATGAGGGCTTAAAGGAGCCACAAAGAGCCGTATAATCGGCAAGAGAAGCGCTTTTTAGCTAAGTGGTGACGCCGGAGGAGGTCGGCGGCGAAGGCGGAATCCGGCGAGAAATGGAGAAGACTCGAGAGACGAGAAAAGGGGCCGAGAAGAAAATAAAGAAGCCGGTTTGTTTCTGAAGTGAGAGGTTTAAAGAAGTAATCGGGTTCGGGTCTTGAATGCTCTGGATCCGATGGTATAAACCCACGGGGGGAGTCACACCGTGCACGGACCTGTTGTTACAAATCGGATTCCACAAGATCCATTTTCGGAAGTCCAAACCCATTAAGAAGAGGGTTATTTGCATATATACCCCTTTAATATCGGTATTGCAGAACTGCCTCCAGAATCTCAGTATTTGTAAAACTATCTCTCATATCATCAATTTGAAAAAGAAAATGCTCGAATCAATCAATCATCGACTTTCATAGGTTGATTTACTGTGACGCCCCTGGGTTCACACAAGGCTGCAGTCCAATGTGAAACCAGAGATGTCAAACCTGTCATGCACCACACACTGTGCATAAACACGTTTCACCAATCATAGCAATATCTTCTAGTGGAACCAAATAGAAGTGCAGGTACAAAACAGGTAAACTAAAGAGAATAAATGTAATAGACATGATATAGAAGAGATATCTCATAAATAAAAAGAATCATGTCTCAACTATAATACATCTGATATCTGAATAATGAAAATGTCTCAACATGAATCAACTAAAAATCGTACTAAGGCACACTGCCTTTACAATATAAATATGAAACTCTAATATCTGAATGAAACTAAAAACTACAGTGGAGTCACTACAAGTAAAAATACGCGACAACGACTATGTCAGAACTCCGTCACCCTACAGCTCTCCGAAACTCCGAACTACCTGAAAAGTAATTTAAAAGAAAAAGAACATCAATAAGAGCGTCAGAGCGCTACAGCAAGATTACCTCCATCCGTCCCCAGAGGAAGGGTTGCTAGATGGATTGAAGGCTCTATCTATTAAGCATAGTCTACCTAAATTCATTTTCCTCGTATCTAAGTGAGATTAACATTTAGAAACCTACAACACGAGACGTAGTACGTCGAGCGAAATAATCCAAACAAGAAAACCCTCATGTATATACCATAAGTTTCAAATTGTAGATATCTAAACATTAATATCGAACTAAGAAAAGACAATCTAATGAAACCAACAATTAGAAATCCATAACACGAGACTGGTACGTCGAGTGAAATAATCCAAACAAGGAAACCCTTATATATATACCATATGTCTCAAGTTGTGAATCTCTAATCATTGATTCCAACTAAGAAATAAAGAAGGCAGTAAAAGAAATAAGATATCAACACATCGTATTTATAATATCTTCCACTATCACTGGGGAGATAGAATAAAATACCAACACATAATTTTATATACTTTCAAAAGCAACGTATCTCGGTCATATAGCTCAGTGGTAGGTCGTATTCATAATCTACATCTGCCACACTTAGGCTATCAAGTAATTGTCTCAGTGCAACGGACAACCATGTAGGTATCCTGAACTGTGTACACGACTCATTAGTCTCATCGCGATCTTAGTGCGTAACATGAGTGCGGGACGGACTACCAAATAGGTATCCTAAAAATACGGCTCACAAACATCATCGCACCCTAGTGCGGGAAGGACGGCTAGATTAAGCCACCTAAAATCCGACTCAATGGCCTGTACATGTGGAATATCGACGCACTACCTCATGTAGTATTGAACTGAGCTCATCAACGATATCCACCTCATATAAATCTTTGTATCTATGGTATGTCGACGCACTATCTCATATAGTACTGAGCTGCGCTCATCAACGATATTCACCTCATGTATAAACCGTGTATATCTGGTATGTCGACGCACTATCCCATATAGTACTGAGCTGTGCTCATCAACGACATCCAACATGTATATGAACGATATCTAATTCAAATATGATTGTAGGCGTATAAAACTGCTTATAGGTCCCTTAACACAGCTCAGCACGGTGATTCGACAAATCAACGAACCGTCGGGTGACGTATCTAAACGCGAGCGTTAGTCCGCAATACTGAAGCCAAGTGACACGCGACGAATGAGGTGACGAGGCTAACGAACCGCACGCAAACAACGGAATAGATCCACTCGCGTGCAGAATCAAGCTAACAGTTCGGTGAGTCAACGAGTCATCCAACCATAGAACGGATTTGAACTCAAACACCGAGACGGATTTACTGCCATATTGGGATTCGGACTGTCAAATCAGAGTCCGGATCAACAACGAAGCGCAAAACCGGACAACGGACACAACACGGCAACACATGGAGGACTCGGCCAAAACCGAGCCACCTCTAGGTGGCCGGCCCAGATCTGTGCCAAGGCACAGATCTGAGAGCCTATAAATAGAGGGCTTGAGCTCATTTTTTGAGGTTGGAACTTTTGACGGCGAAGCTTTGCTGGATTGAAGGCTCAAAACTTAGAAAGATTGAAGCTTTGGAACTTTGAAGACTTGCTCTTTCGGATCCGGTGCTCGGCGATCGTCCACGTCAGAAAAGGCAGGAGTTCGAGAGGGATCGGATCTGAGATCTACGCGATTATACTCCGGATCAAAGCTTGGCCTTTGATCCCGAGAGGGCGATTATTTCCTTGGTGAATTAATCCCCCCGGCTATTATTTCCGAGAGGGATCGGATCTGAGATCTACGCGATTATACTCCGGATCAAAGCTTGGCCTTTGATCCCGAGAGGGCGATTATTTTCTTGGTGAATTAATCCCCTCCCACGGATAACCCCCGGCGTTGGCAAAGAACCCACAAAAGCGAGTGACCGCAAAACAGGAGCTCGTGATTCGTTCGAAAGGAAAGTTGTAATCTTTTTATTTTTTCTTTGATTTCATTGTAACCGGATCTTATAAAAAGACCGGATCTTTTGTAATCAAAAAGCAATTACTTGAGAGAACAATGACATCAATGAAGAACACAATTTTTCCCGCGAACAACTGTCGCGACCACAGTGCGCGAGCACCGCATCTCGCGTGCGAGACCGATGCGTCGCAGCCGCGGATCTCAAATCGCCGGTCGTAAGAGGACGTCGAGTACGAATCGACCACAGTAAGTTCGAGAGTATCTAGTCATCCTTCGTCCGGATCGACCTCCCCTCGCCAGTCCAAAGGAAGCTTACAACTTCCTTTCGACACGAATCACGAGCTCCTGCTTGCGGCATCGCTCTTTGCTGCGGTTCTTTTGCCGAACGCCGGGGTTATCCGTAGACTACCACCGCTGATCTAGATCGCGGGCGGATCACACGATATAACCGGGTATTATTTCACGAGAATATAATACGCGCGGAGGGCGATTAATCACCAAGCGAAATAATCCCCCTCCTCGGAATCAAAAGCATAGCTTTGCATCCGGAGTATAATCGCCGTAGATTCTCAGTATCCGATCCCTCTCGAACTCCTGCCGTTTCTGACTGTGCACGATCGCGAGCACCGCATCGAAAGAGCCAATTCTTCAAGTTCCAAAGCCTTCCAAGTCTTCTAAGCTTTTGAGCCTTCAATCCAGCAGAGCTTCAGCCGTCAAAAGTTCCACCTCAAAAATTGAGCTCAAGCCCTCTATTATAGGCTCTCAGATCGTGCTTGCACAGATCTGGCGCACTCGGCCACACCTAGAAGGTGGCGTCGGCGCCCCCTAGAGGTGGCCAGCTCGGCCACACCTAGAGGTCGCCGGCCACCTAGAGGTGGCTCGTTTGGGCGAGTCCTCCACGGTGTTGCCATGTTGTGCTCCATGTCCGGGTTTTGCCGCTCAGTTGTGATTCCGCGGACTTGAGTTGACAGTCTGGATCCCGATTAGGCAGTAAATCGGCTTTGGTGTCTGAGTTCGAATCCGTTATATGGTTGGATGACTCGTTGACTCCCTAGACCGTTGGTTTGATTCCGCACGCGAGTGGATTCATTCCGTCGTTCACATGCGGTTCGTCAGCTTCGTAGCCTTGTTAATCCGCTTCGTTGCGTGTCACTTGGCTTCGGTGTTGTGGACTGACGCTCGTGTTTAGATACGTCACCCGATGGTTCGTCGGTTTGTGCCGAGCTGTGCTAAGGGACCTATAAGCAATTTTATATGCCTACAGATACCCCCTCCAAAGTATTTCAGCCTCGTTCTTTTATAGAAGAGTCTGGAATACTTTGGATATGATTGTCCCAACCTTCAGTCGGTGTAACGGGACTTTGAAATGGCTTTTGTTCTTGATTCCTTCAATCCTTCAGGCTATTCGGTGCTTTGTCGAATGTCTGTAAGGTTTTCGGTGCTGCATTTATTGTCTGACCGTTGTCGGAATTTTGGACTTGAAGTCGATTCCTGATTTTCTGATCTTTTAGCTCGTGTTTGCTGGTTTAACATAGAACTGACCATCGATCGTTGACGCGTTGTCCGGCGTAGTGTTGTTGAGTTATCCTTAAGAATATTTTTAGAAAAGATATTCTCCAGAAACTTCTCAACCAAAAATAGGAAGTAGTTTATACTTCGTATACTTTTCGGAGTATTAAGAAGCAGTTTATACTCGTATACTTTTCGGAGTATTAAGAAGCAGTTTATACTCGTATACTTTTCGGAGTATTGATTCTTTCGTTGCAATGCATTAATCGGCGTTGACCTAGGGTTACGCGTTGACCGACGTTGACCCTAGGGTTTCGAACGTCGTACGTTGACTTTTTGATCGCAACGCGTTGACTGGTGTTGACCTAGGGTTACGCGTTGTCCGGCGTTGACCTTAGGGTTTTGAACGTCGTACGTTGACTTTTTGATCAGACCAACTAAGCGTTGACCTAGGGTTACGTGTTGACCGGCGTTGACCCTAGGGTTTCGAATGTCGTTGGATGTTCGAGTCACGAGACCAACTAATGAAGCTGATGCGTCAGTGACTCTCGTATTTATAGGATTTTTGGCAAACCCTCAGCCATCAACGGGTTTGATGAGCCTTTACCGACTACCGTTTGAGTCGGGCTAGCATGCGGATTGTCTAAATCCGTTCCGCATGTGACGTTGTGCTAAGAGAGTTAACGCTCTTAGTGCTACGATATTGAATACGTAGACTTCGTCTTTCTCACGGGAATAGACTACCCGG